ATGAAGAAATGCTGCTAATGGCGCTGGTGAATGCAAAGGAAGCTGAGATGGAACATATTTGGTTTCTTGACTCAGGTTGTAGCAACCATATGTGTGGCAAGAAGGAAGCATTTGTCGAAATAGATGCCAATTTCCGAGAGTCAGTCAAGCTGGGAAACAACTTCAGTCTTAGTGTGCATGGCAAAGGCAAAGTACGAATGGAGGTGCATGGGATTGTGCATGTGATTACAGATGTGTTCTTTGTACCTGAATTAAAGACTAACTTGCTGAGTATCGGTCAACTACAAGAGAGGGGACTTGCAGTGCTAATTCAACACGGAAAGTGTAAGATCTTTCACCCTGAGAAAGGTCTCATTCTTGAAACAGAGATGACACACAACAGAATGTTTGCCTTGGTTGCACACTGTCCGGCAAAGGAACAAAGCTGTCTCTCCATGACAACCACAGATCAAGCTGATCGCTGGCATTGTCGATATGGACATCTAAGTTGGAACGGATTGAAGGTGCTACAACAAAAGAATATGGTTGAGGGGCTGCCAAAGCTCAAAGCTTCTCAGAACGTGTGTGAAGGCTGCCTTGTTGGGAAGCAGCATCGTGACTCTTTTCCTAGGGAAAGTGAATGGAGAGCTTCAAAAATCCTTCAAATGATACACGCTGACATTTGTGGTCCCATAAACCCAATCTCAAATAGTAAGAAGAGATATTTCATCACTTTTACTGATGATTATAGTAGAAGAACTTGGGTTTACTTTCTGGTGGAGAAATCAGAAGCCTTCACTGTGTTCAAAATGTATAAAGCCAAAGTGGAGAAGGAAACAGGAGCATTCATAAGAGGCTTGAGGACGGATCGAGGAGGTGAGTTCACATCACATGAATTCACAGATTTCTGCAATGAGAATGGCATTCATAGGCAGTTGACAGCTGCCTACACGCCTCAGCAGAACGGGGTTGCTGAACGGAAGAATCGAACCATCATGAATATGGTTCGATGTATGCTGTCAGAGAAGCAGATTCCAAAGACCTTCTGGCCTGAAGCAGTGAATTGGGCAGTTCACGTGCTGAATCGAAGTCCAACCCTTGCAGTAAAAAGTAAAACACCTGAGGAAGCATGGAGTGGGCGCAAACCATCAGTGGAGCACTTTCGGGTCTTTGGTTGCATCTCTCATGCACACGTACCTGATAGCAAAAGATTGAAGCTTGATAACAAAAGCCTCAAATGTATACTGTTGGGGGTAAGTGAGGAGTCCAAAGCCTATAGATTGTTTGATCCTATCTCGAATAAAATCACTATAAGCCGAGATGTAGTGTTTGAGGAAGATCAACAATGGGATTGGGATGACAGTCATGAGCAAGCTATTTTAGCTGACCTTGATGAAGAAACAGGTACTGAAGATAAAGGAAATGAAGAAGAAGATCAAGTGAATGAAGGAGAATCTGATGTGCAAGAGTCAGAGGGTGAGAATTCCCTTGAATCTGAAGATACCACAAATGAAGGCAATACAACTCAAGAGGGAAGAGCTCGAAGGCCACCAATTTGGATGAGAGACTATGACACTGGTGAAGGTCTCTCTGATGAAGAAGGCATGAACTTGGCTCATCTAGCCTTGTTTACTAATGACGATCCTACTAGCTATTGTGAAGCCGTGAAGAGTGAGAAGTGGAAACAAGCAATGGATAGAGAAATAGAAGCAATACATGGGAACTGATTGACTTACCATCAAGGGGAAAAGTTATTGGAGTCAAATGGATTTTCAAGACAAAATTAAATGAAAATGGGGAGGTGGACAAGTATAAGGCTCGGCTCGTCGCGAAGGGATATTGCCAACAATATGGAGTGGATTATTCTGAAGTATTTGCACCAGTGGCACGAATGGATACAATTCGAGTAGTTATTTCTATTGCTGCACAAAGAAGTTGGAAGATTTATCAACTCGACGTCAAAGCAGCTTTCTTGCATGGAGAGATCAATGAAGAAGTTTTCGTTGAGCAACCACTTGGATATGTACAGAAAGGAAGCGAAGGCAAGGTTTATCGTCTCAAGAAGGCACTATACGGGCTCAAGCAGGCTCCACGAGCATGGTACAGTCGAATAGAGGCATATTTTGTCAAGGAGGGCTTCAGCAAATGTCCCTTTGAGCACACATTGTTTATCAAGACAGCCAAAGCAGGTAAAATTTTGATTGTATGCCTATATGTTGATGATCTCATATTCACTGGGAATGATGAGGTGATGTTTGAGGAATTTAAGAGATCCATGATGCTAGAATTTGATATGACTGATCTCGGAAATATGAGATACTTTCTTGGCATTGAAGTAATACAGAAACCAGATGGTATATTTATGTGTCAACGTAAGTATGCACAAGAAGTGTTAGACAGGTTCAACATGGGTCAGTGTAACTCAGTGCATAACCCTATGGTTCCTGGTTTCAAACTCACTCGTGATGAAGAGGGAGCCAAAGTAGACAGCACGCTCTATAAGCAAATGGTTGGGAGTCTTATGTACTTAACAGCTACACGACCTGATCTTATGTACACTGTAAGCCTAATCAGCAGGTATATGGGTGGATAATCGTGATGGTATTGATTGTGTAGGGCCTTTTATTAGTATTCGTGTGGTTTGACATCACACAACCTCTTCTTCGATGGAGACTAGTTACCTTTTCGAGGTGGGAGAGAAAATGGTGGAGTTTAGGTATAAATATCTTCCTAAATATTGTTTTGTGTGCGTCATAATCCGTCATCCTACTTAGGTGTGTATTGCAAAGTATGAAATTATTCATGGGCTCCTCAATCCGAATTTGTTTTTCGAGTTTACCTCTATTTTTGTTGATTTAGAGGGTGACACCAATTTACAGGGTAAATCTATTGGTACTTTGGCACACCGCTACTCGACAATTCACCTTCTTATAAGAGCCCCAGTCATTCCTCAAGTTAGGATGGTATTTGGAATAATGATGGCCCGGGTGACCGTCGTAGTTTGGATGCTCGGTCTTGGCAATCGTCTTCTTGGATCGGAATGACCTTGAGGATTCTCTCTCCTTCCCGTCTCTGCCACGTCGCCCCACTGTACTTGAGGGGATCGAGTCTCTTCGTTGCCATGTTGGATCTTCTGATGATGCTACTTGTTCTCCGTTGTTTTTTGCATTATATCCAAATGTTTCGACGTTAGGAGTTTCCACTGTGGTTCTTCCCTGTATACGAGCGACTCTAGTGATTGGCAATCACATTGGTCCTTCGGTGGTTACTCCCACTCATATGGATTCGGTACTCTTTGATCCTTTCAACCTTATGCCTATTATCCAGTTTTCTGCAAGTATTCCAACCAAGATGGGTTGCAGGAGACCCAAAAAATGGGTGGCTTCCCGCAGTGCTTCTGTTAAAATGAGAGTTAAGCATAAGATACAGTTGTGGCGTCCGTTGATAGTGATGTCTTGGTTCTTAGGGTAGACTTCGTGGATCCTAAGCGTCCCTGCAATGCTGCATGTTCTTATAAGCATTTGGAGACTGGTTTAGTGGGGTATCCTGAGAGCCTTCCTTAATGTTTATATGGAGCATTAGTGGGCTTGGCATCTGGTGAATGCATTCATACCTGACATCTGGTTTCACGTTAAGTGGCTGAGGCCAGTTTTGTTTTCTTGTGGCGTGACGTTTTTCTATGTTGTTATCTCTCTCAGCATACCTTTTGATTCTTCGCCTGCCTAAAGGACTATGGTATTTCCATAGGAGATTTCCTTGCCGTGTTGCGATGACACGGAGTGCCTCTTGAGGGTTTTTTTTTCTTCAGTTTTTTCTTTTCTTGGCATGTTCGTTATGTTTTGTTTCTTCTTTTGAGTTGTCTTATGCATATTATCTCTTTGTAGCGCTAATCGAAGACTTCTGGTTTTCTTTGGTGGGTTTTGGATTGAGCTGGTATGCTTCCGTGGGGTTCCTCTTCTGTCATTATTGGAGTCTCTCTTGGAGTGCTCTATGTCAAGTGCTTTCACTATTCTGTGGTTGTACAAAGTTCTATGGTTTCATAGTAGGATTCTTTGGACAGTCGGGATGTGTTGCTGTGTTCTCGTCTGTGTTGGGTTTCACTTTTGCTTTGTTTCTTTATTGCAATGGTCCAAAGTGACCTGAATCGGGCTCTTTTATTAGTCCATGACATGTGTGGTACTCTTCCCTCTTCTGGGGTTTGTCCCATGTGATTTTCCTAGGAAGGTTTTAAAGAGACTACTATATTATGTCACTCTGTGTACGCTTTTGGTTATATGAATGAATTATCTTTCTCAAAAAAATAAAAAATAAAAAATACAAGCAGTGCCATTCAAAGGAGGAAGAAAGAAGTCAGCCGACTTTAAGGCTTTTATAAACTAATTTCTAAGTACCACAAAATATTCAAGGCCACACATTACATTTAGGGAGGACTTCCTCCTTGTATATATGAGGAGCGGAGTATTGTCCATAGTATCCAGCTCCCAGCAAGACTTTCTTCCATCTTGCACAACAGATGCAGCTGCCGGCAGGGAAAAATCTTGATGGTCGACCATTCATTGCTTAGACTTTAGGTTCTAAAACTTTTAAAATTATTGTAAAATTGAAGTCCAAAAAAGGTTGTTCTGACCCTACAAAAATCAACCATGTCAAATAGGGGTTACAAGTTGAATTTTTTTGATGAAAACTAGCTTCCGCTTGAAGCGCTAGACGCATATCAGTTGATGTGTTCCTGAAAAACAGGGGTTACATTCTCTGTATCACTTTCTGTGGCAGATCCAAAAATTTACAAGTCGTGATACAAATCGACATAGTATATATTATTTTCTTAGGTTTAAATTACATAGTACACTAATTTCTATTACTTAAATTAAAATTTGAGCATAACAGATGGGTTGGGTGGCACATTATGCTCCACTAGATTTACTTGGGTACGTCAATTTGTTAAAAAAGAAAGTTCAAATCCTACATGCCCACAGGCCAGCTAGCTTATTTGGGGGCTCATAGCAAAGAGAGCAAATAAAAAGGGATCATCTCCCTTGGACATTAAGGTTCTCTCTGACGTCTATGCCGAAAGAGAATATAGGCTACTTGGTTAATCCAATGACCGAACCCTTATGTGTAGAGAGGCTTGCCTAATCTGCCAAGGACCAATCAATTTTTTTGTACTTGTTACCTCCATCATCAATAAACTATATCGCTTTTCCCAAAAACAAAAACAAAGGAATGATGGTAACCGCCATGTTGCTCCAGTACAGGTAAAAAAAATTGTGTAGATCTTGGAGATGCTCTCACAATATTCTTAAATTATTGGATATTTGGTTCATAGTCGATCCTACTCATATTCTCATCCGTTTCTGTATGAAAATATTCCTTGCACCTATTAGGGAACTTTTCATGTGAGCTAATGTTCAAACAAAATATGTAATTTTTCTTTCGTTTTTTACATTTTGTTATGGCATATATTTCTCCATCATATTTTGGATTTTGAACTTCTATTGCAGTGCTACGTATATTGCAAGGTCTGATCACGAATCTCCTTGAACTATTGGGTATGCTACATTCTTTACCACTTGTCGTTTTTCTTTTCTCCATCAATGGTTTTAAAATTCAATTTTTCTTGAAGGATTTAAATGACTTTTGTTTTTGTGTTTTTGTGTTTTTTTTTTTTTTTCAATGATAACCTAGGAATCAACCGCATACGTGAAATAAAATTGATCCATTCTCAATCCCTTGGACTTCTAGATCACATGTGTGAAGTGATAAAACATTTGGATGGTATAGACATGGAAGATTTATGTGGTGGAGCCATTTTCCAAGCTGTCGAGCTAGGGGTTTTCGAGTTTATTGATCGTATATTCCAAGCAAGTCCAGATCTCGTGTGGAGCAATAATCAAAATCAAAGAAACCCCTTGCAGTTTGCCATTGAATGTCGTCAAGAAAGGATTTATAGCCTGATTTATAGACTCGATAAAACAGAAAGAAATGTGATTGGAAATCTTGGAGATACCTCTAACAGTAACATGCTACATATGGCAGCGATGTTATCGCCATTGGCAAAGCTCGATAATATCTCAGGGGCAGCGGTGCAAATGCAGAGAGAATTGCAATGGTTCAAGGTCAGAATATATCATTCCATATAATTCAGAGTTAGTTTTCTTCTTTTTCTATTAATTCGTTTTCATATGGCCCCTTCTCAAGACCCATTTTCTTTCCGTGAAATGTGGGAATTCGTGGGGCTCATTCAGAGTTAATTTTCTTCTTTTTCTATGCTTATGATAAATAAATAAACATAGCATTTCCTTACTGTATTTCCTGTAAATAATGAAAGTTCATGATGAAAGGATCTTGCAATAAGCAGTGAATAAATAGATAGCTGGGATTTTGGAAAAAAATAGGGTTCCCTGCATATTGTGGGAAGCTTTTTTAGTTGAGAGCTGAACTGGGCCTGGTGGACTGCTGTAAAGAGCTCTAGTTCCCCTTTTATGAGTTTCTGGCACGAGGCCCCAAAACATTCCGAAAGGATATGTCAATTTTAAGGAATGCCCTAGAGATGAATGACTCCTTCAGGTATTAGTGGCATAGGAGGCTTGCTTTAGTGGATCAAAATTGATCTTCATTTTTGAGGCTTGTGGTGTGGGAGCTAAGAGTTCGTAAGTTTAGAAAAAGAGATTTTATCTCAGCTTTTAAGATGGTGTTTTTCAGGCAGTTTTTAATGGTGGATGAAGC